TGCTTATTCTAACTAGCTGTATGGTTTCATTTCTGTTAAAAGCTGTTTTGGAATTATATTTGCTATGGAAAGTGCAATTCAAATAACTGTAAATTAAATCGACAATCCTATACTCTAATATAGGCTAAAAATATATGTTGCCAACTTGCTAATATTTTCCAGATAATATTTTTTTAATGACAAGATTACAATGGCAAACAAAAGCCAATCATTTAATTTAGGAAATGAACAATTAGTTGATGTTATTTTATCAAACTATTTTCTGATCAAAGTATAAATGAAAATATATATAACTGCTTTTATATTATAGAAAAGGGCTCTCTGACAAGGAAATTATCATAGTTGGGGGTATTTGGCAATAAAAACGACGCAATAACACACACAAAATCATAAACATATTGTACAGATAACTTGATCATTTTGACAGTGTGAGATAAAAACAAAAACTCACATGCATCATCATCACTAACCTATGGGCCATTTAATAAACTGCCTGAAGACTAATCGTCATAAGCAAAATGAACAAGAGATTCAGTGAACCTAACTTATACGAAGTATTTAAACAACGACGTACGTATTAGATTAACACGGTGCGGGAGAATTTGCTTTTCGATAAAGTGTCCAGTTATCAAGCATGTTGAGTAAATCATATTCCTCAAGAGGACGTAAAAGTTAGCTAAACACTGACGATTACGCTAACTATTGAGCATGCACATTTTTGCACCTTACGCTACGTTGTACAATTTTACAAAGAAGAAGATGCAAGAGAAACCGATTAGTTACGGCATTCACAAATGAGCTTGTTGAATGTGTTGCATGAGCGCGCGGCAGCCTTAACATCGACCTAATGTGAATTTGTATCAACAACTTGCAGCAAAGATTCTTCCAAAACGGAGAGTTTGTTTCCGGGGGTTCTTTGAAAAGGTACCACGTAACTAACAACTCGTGTAACAGTTAAACCTTTGTGTAAACCTTTGTTTCTGAACGTTTAACACGATATATTCTTACCTTTCAAATCTTCCGCCATCTTCCGACCGCCGCCAAAAATTATAGGATGGAAGGGCCGCTCGATGATTGGACGCAGCGCAGTCTGAGTGACGGTTTGGGCAACCAATAGAAAAATAAAACTCGACGGACCGTTTATGGGAAGTTTGGACCAAGTGGGGTTCGTGTATGAAATCAGATTCATGTCTTTATACGTGGACTTAACATATGGTACATGCAAGTTTGAGCTGTCTCAGTTATTTTAGCTTCTCGTTTGCTCATTTATATCCTTTGTGATGGTTTACAAAATCTGAAGAGACCTTTTATGTAGTCGGAACTTATGCTATTATTTTTTATGTTACAATTTTTATAATACGATTCGTGGGGCATTACAGTTTATAAATTGTGTTGTTCTATGGAACAAATAAATAACGCTATTTCACATCACATCATGTTCTTTATGTGAAGTATTTTAATTTGCTTTTCACTGTTTGTGAAGGCGGGGCGTAGAGTTCACCCATCATCACGTGACACACAAAAAATACTCCTTGAATTTCCGGAGAAAGTCTGTTTGATTACTAGAGCGTTTAAACCATCACCAGTATCTGCATTACAAGTTGAGACAGGAGAGATGCCTTTACGTATTAGGAGGATCAAGTTCATGCTGGCGTATTGGATAGATCTACAAGGGTATAGCGGAGTACATCCCACAAAGGCCATCTTACAAGATTGTTCAGAACATAGTAAAAGTAATTATTACAGTTTCGGATGGATAGGAAATGCAAAAGCACAAAACGCAAGCCTCAGCCAGCTCCAAGTAAGCCCCATGTGGCACTATCAACTGTACCACCTTGGAAATTCATAAAGCCATCTGTAGATATAAGCCTTCAACAACTGTTAAAAGAAAAATCTAAAATAATGCCACAGAGGATAATAGTTCAAAATTACATGGACCTTTATCAAGACAAACTATTCATATTTACATGGATCAAAGCAGCCAGAGACAGGCCGTACTGGGGCTGCTTTTTCCATTTCGCATTATGAAATAGCAGTTAAAAAAAGAACAGCAGATCATTTATTCTTAGTAAGTCTATCTCTCAAACACAAATACACAACAGAGAGGGGAAAAGGCCTAAACTGTGGAACTGAGACCGGTGTCTTGTCAGCTTCATATAACGTTAACTGCAACAAATAACTGCTGCGTAAGCCACTGAATACACAAAATGATTATGAGCATATTATTTAGGCCCTTCACGAATAACCCTAACCCTAACCCTAACCCTAACAGTAAAGATTTTAGCAGTTTTATTGGCATTACAGTATCTGGAAGGAAATAAACAACCATATAATCATAGCTTCTAGCAGCTTATCTGCTCTATCTAGTATTCAATCTGGGAAAACATCATGTAGAAAAGATATCATATACCAGATATTCAACTTACTTTTAATACTGTATGATAAAGGGCTGGGTGTTTCCTTCCTTTGGATTCCTGCTCATGTAGGAGTTGGAAGGAAATTAGATTGTAGATATTCTGGACAAGAGCAGCAATAAAGCATGAAACAGTTGATATACAAATACCGTTATGTAGAACAGAAATCAAAACCATTATTAAGGGACATACAAGCAAAATATGGCAAGAATACTGGGACATAACTGACATTGGACGACATCTGTATAACATACAAAAACAAGTAGGCTTAAATAGTATTAGGCAGAGCAGGAATCCAAAGGAAGGAAAGATAATTACACGTCTTAGATTTTACATGACAGAGAATAGGAAAACACCCCACTGGTCTTTGCAACCACTGCAACACACAAGAGACAGTAAAACATATTTTATTAGATTGTAAAAGGTATGAAGAAGAAAGAAGGGAGTTAGAAATCAAAACATGACCGTGGGAAATCTGCTAGGAAAAACAATGTCTAGGGAAATACATAGTCTCCTAATTAATTATTTGAAAAATACTGGGATAAGTGAAAGAATTTGATGGAGATATATAGGGGGGAAGGAGAATGTGTGTATGTGTGTGTATATATACAGTGGGTACGGAAAGTATTCAGACCCCCTTAAATTTTTCACTCTTTGTTATATTGCAGCCATTTGCTAAAATCATTTAAGTTCATTTTTTTTCCTCATTAATGTACACACAGCACCCCATATTGACAGAAAAACACAGAATTGTTGACATTTTTGCAGTGCCCTCTGTCACAAACATGAAGACACATTTTCTATAGAATGCATATATACATAACAAAAAAGTAAGTTTAAAAAAAAAATTTAGTTAAATGGTCGTTCATTCGACAACTTGTAAACTTGCTATTTTATTTTACCAGTCTTCACTGTCACATGATCCTTCAGAAATCATAACATTCTGATTTGCTGCTCAAGAAACATTTCTTATTATTGTCTTATATTACCGAAAGGGTAGAATTGTGACAAGAGTTAGACAGAGTCATATAATTTTTTTTTATCACTTTTGTAGATACTGTGCTTGAGTTCATAAATATTCTTTCTTGGGTTTAGGTATTAATTGTGTCCTTTGTCTCCTTCTACAGGATGTGAGGCCGCGTGTGGATGGTTTGCACGGTCGTGGAAACACTGTGCTGGAGAGGGTAGAGGGAGCTCAGCAGCGCTGGAAGAAACAGGTCCAGGAGCAGCGCAAGACTGTGTTTGACCGCCACAAGCTGCTCAGCTAAGCCCTCAGACAGACTCTAGCTGTGAAAAAAGGCTAATGGGAACCACTGACTGAGACAACTTGCATGGTGGTCTTATAGTTTCAGCTTTTATGACAATATGTTTTATCAGTGGGCCTGCATTATCATTAGTATTATAATCTTACCAAAACTGACTTGATTCTAGCTTTCAAACTGAAGCTGTGACCACATAAAGCAACTTGTATAGTTTGCTTGCTGTTAACATAAATTAAGAGAATCAGCCAGCTCCAGTTGGTCTCACACCTACATTTTTCACCCAATAACTTGAGTATATCGGTGCTGTCACTACTTTGCTTTGAAATAGCATTGCAAAGGATGGGATTACATGGAAAGCAGTGTAATCTGGGAGTATTGATGTGGACCTCTATATAATATAGATGCGCTTATGAATGTGTAGAGTGTCATTGCACTGTTGTAGTTTCATTTTGAATTACCAAGAAAATGTATTGAATGATTTCCATTCATGTAGGTATGTATTTATTTATTTATTGCTTGTTTGTCTGTTTGCCAGTTGATAATGCCATTTAGGATGGCACTTGTCACAAGCACATGTCTTAAATGTCATATTATAATGAAATATTTAAAAATGTGTATATTCACAATAGTGAAGGGGCTTTACGTGATCAGCACTGTTAAATAGTGTATCATAAGCTTCCTCTAATGTGATTTACACTTTTGTTGGATTTTCTGATTTACAGACATCCCAAAATATTTATTTTGCACCTCAAAATGTGAAGGAATTTGCTTTATTATATTTGCTGCTATAATGATTTTTCCAGTATGTATCCAAACAACTTGCAGCTGTTTTACAGCTGAAATATTTTGCTTATGTGAAAATGCACTGATATGTTAAATATATAAAGAATGTTGTCAGCTTTCTTTGTAACATTTTCTTTTTTCTAGGTAAAATTCACTGAGTAACACTCAAAGTTTGACACTAAAATACAATGGTTATGTTATATATTTAGTTAGAAACTGCCTAAACTGGATCCTGTAAAAATTCCCATCTGCTGTTTTGTACAGTAAATCACCAAGGGGAAAAGGCAGGCATATTTTAGCACCACTTATGTATCCTATTCTTCATATTTTAATATTTTCAATGTCTTATTTCATTTGTGGTGTTATATAAGCAGCTGAATTTCTCTTACAGAACCTTAGTCATTTTCTTTCTTCATCTGCTGCATAAGGCTTCCTATCCCCTCCTCCACCTGCCTCCACACCCCCAAGAATGGACACTGACTGCCCGTCTATATATATCCCTCAGAATGGGCCATCTGCGCCTAAATGCTCCCTGCCCCTCCAATGCCTCCTTGTCTGGTGTAGGTTTGCAGCAGGGGCCAGGGCCAAGAAGGTACACTGTGCCTTCTCAGAGAAGGCGAGATGGTGGATGAAGCTTAGGACCATACTAAAGATCTGACCTGAACTTAAGAAGACCAAGGATTTGCTAAACTAGGAATCATTTCAGGTTTTGGCTCTTTTTTTGTGGGAATTGAGAAGATTTCACATTTAGGAGATCCAAAATGGAGTCAGGAGGTGGCGGCGGCGGTGGTGGTGGGGTGGCAGCTTTGGCCTCGTTCATCATGAATGAAGAAGAGCTCAAGAGAAAGCAAAGGGAGAAACTCAAGAAACTGCAGGCCACAGGAGGAAACCCTCGACCTCCACGTTCCTTGTTCTTCTTCACGCTCAAAAACCCTTTCCGGAAGACCTGCATCAACATTGTGGAATGGAAGTATCCTTCAAACTTACATCCATTTTGTTTCCATAGTTTTAGACTGTGGTTTGATGTTTGTTTAGTTTTGACTCATAATTGAGATGGGCATGATTTAAAAAGGCATCCATCCCCCAGAGAGCTGGTTTAGCATGCATGCCAGAAAAAGCACGCGACCATAACTCGGATCTGTTTTACTCCGCATCTTATGTTCAACAAAACCAGACTGAGATATTTGCTCCATCTGTGAGATGGAGAAAATAAAAACAGACACAGTTGTTTTTCATAATCCCCAGGTTTAGTGTGTCTTAAGGTGTGGAAATCTCTCTCAGTTGTGAACTGAAGCTGTTAAGCTTTTGTTATGCGTCAGACTCACCACGGTCATTTGGAAGCAGTTGGATAAGGTCTTTACACTGAAGATGATAAGGATGAACCCCAGCCTATTTACAGTCAGCAAATATACTAATAATAAGACTTCAAGCTAATGTTAATTGACTCAATTTACTTACACAACTTCTTAACTTGTGCTTTGAGACCACCCTTGAGACAAAACTGACATATACAGCAAACATTTGCTTTATGAAGTGAAACTTTCAGTTCCCGATTAGTTCATTCAGTAATTGGAATACAAATGTAAATCTGAATTGGAGATTGTCATGTAAAAGTGTTTGGCTTTTGTACAGAGGTGAATAGGAAATGTAATTTTGGAGCTCTTTTTTGCATAGATGTATTTATACAGTTTAATGATATTCTGTCTGTGTACAGCTGTTGTGTGGCCCCTAGTGGCAGAAATTCACTAATAATTACAGTTAGTTGGAGACTGCCAGTCATGTAGTTTAAACTGAAACAGCAATAATTGATGATTATAATATTTCTTACTGGACATGAAATCCTATATTTATTATATATTATATATTCTATCCTAGTAAATGTTTACACTGAGGTAAAACCATCTTTACTAGATGCCTTGTGTGTCATTGATTCTAATTTAGTTACTGACCAGATAACTTCCCAAAATCTCTCTTGTTTCTTTAGTCACCAAAGCCACTTTTACTTGTATTTGGCACTGGGCGACTTAATTTTTGTTTAAATCTGATTTATGCAAATCATTTTCCAATGGTTGTTTCTGCCATGTCTACCCATTGTTTTCCTGAGCAGACTCCCGCAGACCCTTTGAAATCATTATCCTGCTAACTATCTTCGCTAACTGTGTAGCTCTGGCTGTGTTTCTTCCCATGCCTGAAGAGGACATCAACAACACCAACTTAACATTGGTGAGATGTTCTTAAACTACACTTACCATTGGAGAGCATACATGTTAAAGGAATAATCGCTAATTACAGGTCATTTGCAGTAATACATCAACTAATTTTGAAAACAAAAGCTACTGCAGGTAGCTACAAAAACATTATGGTACTGCAATTGCAAGGATGAACTGGATTAAAGGGATAGTTATGTTTTGTAGACACACCTCATGGTGTGTTGCCAGAGAATCTGAGATACTTAAACATGTCCAAGATAAAGTGTTCAGATTGTTGCCTACTCAGGTTTTTGGCCCTTGGGTTGTGAGAGAGATGTATTTGTTTTGAAACTGATATGTGTGCGCTAACATTTTCGCCCAGTTGGCATTTGCACAGGTCAAATTTGTGATCTGCATAAATAAGCTCTTATGAGTTTAAAGTTAAATAGAATTATGGGTTTATATACAATGAATGCAATTTAGATCATGTTTTACAAACTAAAAATATACCATGCAGCAGATGCTGTTTTGTGTCATGGGTTTTATATTTAGTCTTTGATTTGAGATGTGCATGTCCAAAGCTGCAAGTGTGGTGTTTATAAATACACTCAAATCTCAGAAGGGGATTTTCATGACGCATCTAATGAGAAATGAATATAGATTCTATTGACGTGACTGTTCTGTCCCACACTGAACTTTGCCTTTCTGCTCTTTTTATATGTGTAACCTTTTTGTGTTTCAGCTATATAAACACTTATATAATGATAAATCCTCTTATTTCATGACTCAAGCGTTGACGGTATGTAGGTCACACACTCTTTCCACTAGCATGTGCAGTCATATTCTCCTCTCTCAGAACATAGAGTGTTATTACATTTCAGAGGGCACAAATCTGAGACCCACTCACTTATTTACTCCCCTGGGTTTAGTGACTTACGCCGGTGGGCCATCCATTCCTCAGATACTAAGTCATGAAACCGGAGCTTAGAGTGGGTCTCAGTAGACATGGTCAGAATGAGGTTGATATGGCCTGTTAGTGTAGAATGAGAGGCTGTGTGCTGTGTAAACATACTGATTAGATCCTCACTGCCCATTGAGGACAGTCGTTTGGTTTGGCAAAATGTTAAGGTTCAGGTTTCAGTGGCACCTTGCGCATGTTTTTTTAGAACAAATGATCCATGCGATACAGTTGACAGTATGTCGAAACTGCTAAAAAGATATTAAGTAATTTTAGGATGTGGAAACTACAAAAAATGAAGAACAAGAAAGTTGAAGAAAATGTCTTGTAGGTTATAAATTCTTAATGTTAAAATACTTTCTCCCAACCCAGCTTAATATGCAGATATGGGTCTCTGAATTCAAATAAATAAAGAACAAAATAAATGTTTTTTAACTCTGAATATGTATCTTGCAGTTCTCAGAATTGTGAGGGGGGGGGGGGGGCCAGAATCATCACTGTATCATGTTTTACACCCCATTAATCCCTCCTATAACATTGTTTGTTTCCTTGCAGGAGAGTCTGGAGTACATCTTCCTGGTCATTTTCACTCTTGAGTGCTTCCTAAAGATAGTAGCGTATGGGCTCCTGTTCCACGAGGGAGCCTATTTACGAAATTGTTGGAACATATTAGACTTTGTCATTGTGTTCATGGGGTAAGATGACATTTAAAATGTCCAGAAGTCATAAACAAAACACCCTGAAATGATTCCTAAAACTGTCCTGAACTCAATTCAACCATAGATTTTTTTTCTGTAGAGTTTGTGCAGTATTAATAATACAATAAATGCTGGCATTTTTTAAATGAATTGTTTCACATTTCTTAAATAATAGTTCTTTTAAACTGCCTCCTCAGGCTCTTCACACTTGGTGTGGACACCATCAACACAATAGCAGGAGTTCCCAAAGAGAAAGGAGGAGGGTTTGATATGAAGGCTCTTAGAGCATTTCGAGTCTTGCGACCGCTGCGGCTCGTATCGGGAGTTCCCAGTAAGACTTTTAAGCACCACAATTAGGGCAACATAGGACTTTAAAGCTAGGTCCTTAATATACCTTCATATATAATTATTATAAGTATACTCCTATAATATTTCTAACAAACTGAGGCAGTGTTGAGTGAAAACAGATTAAATAGGTGCTTACAGAAATGTATATGTGACCCTGGACCACAAAACCAGTTATAAGGGTCAATTCAAAATTTAAGATTTATACATCAATATAAATAAGCTTTCCATTGATGTATGGTTTGTTAGGATATGACAATATTTGGCCGAGATACAACTATTTGAAAATCTGGAATCTGAGGGTGCAAAAATATCAAAATATTGAGAAAATTGGTTTTAAAGTTGTCCAAATGAAGTTCTTAGCAATGCATATTACTAATGAAAATGAAGTTTTAATATATTTACAGTAGGAAATTTACAAAATATCTTCATGGAACATGATCTTTACTTAATATCCTAATGATTTTTGGTATAATTTTTTTTTATAATTTTGACCCATACAATGTATTTTTGGCTATTGCTACAAATATACCCCAGCGACTTAAGACTGGTTTTGTGGTCCAGGGTCACATATATGTACACGCTTTGTTAACTGTCTTGTAAGATTACAATATAATCCTGTCTTTGTCAAATGTTAAAAAATGCTGGTTTGTTAAAAGTATATTTGTTGTCGTCCAGGCCTCCAGGTGGTAATGAGCTCTATTCTGAAGTCCATGTTGCCCCTCTTCCACATTGCATTGCTGGTCTTCTTCATGGTCACCATTTATGCCATTATGGGTTTGGAGCTGTTCAAGTGTAAAATGCACAAGACATGTTACTACCAGGGCACTAGTGAGTCTACTAGTGAGACATCAAACATATAAAGTGAATCTCATAACTGAAAACAAGTTTTAGATATGTAAAATAAATTAATCAGTAATCAAGATCAATGTTTTCAACCTCTGTTTCAGATATCATTGCCATCAGGGAGAATGAGAAGCCATCGCCCTGTGCTCAGGCTGGACACGGGCGCCGCTGCACCATCAATGGCACTGAATGTCGGGCAGGTTGGCCTGGTCCCAATTTTGGCATCACCCATTTTGACAACTTTGGCTTTGCCATGCTCACAGTCTTTCAGAGTATCACAATGGAGAGCTGGACTGATGTGCTCTACTGGGTAATTACTTATGGGCATGACAATCCCCCTATTTACTATCTTATGGAGAGGCCAGAAGACAAATGTTTGTTTATATTATCAGGCAATAATTAAACTTCTCTATGCTAAAGTTAAATCATTACTGATAGGCTACTATAAATGTATCCATCAGTATAGACTATATATAATACAATTAAATGGTAACACTTTACAATAAGGTTCATTAGTTAACTACATTAGTTAACATGAACTAATAATGAACTGCACTTATACAGCGTTTATTAATCTTTGTTAATGTTAATTTCAACATTTACTAACACATTATTAAAATCTTGTTAACATTAGTTAATGCACTGTGAACTAACAATGAACATCTGTATTTGTATTAACTAACGTTAGTGAAGATTAGTAAATACAGTAACAAATGTATTGCTCATGGTTAGTTCATGTTAGTTTATACATTAACTAATGTTTAACTAATGAACCTTATTGTAAAGTGTTACAAATTAAATTATGCTGATATTCAGACCAACAGGATAACAAGGCTGATATTAGTTTTACACAACAGTTCAATGACAATAGACAACCATATATGACCTCGCATATTATGCAGCATCTCGCACATGACATAGTGTCCTAGAAATCTGCGCTCAAGTTAAAAGAAATAAATTTTGTTTTAAATGGCATCTCTTTTTTTAAGGCAATAACATGTGTGAAAGACCCCTTAGCTCTTGTGCGTCTCCAGGAAATACACAGAAGTGGTGTTGCATTCCTGAACGAGTCAGTGTGTTTGAACTAATTTGGTTTAATGACTCATTCATAAAAACAGCCACTTTCGCCACCTACTAGTGCAAAGATGTAAACTGCAGAAAGAGAAAAATCCCCACCAATAATGCTCAGAGTGACAGTTTGTCTATATAGAGCAAGATTTTTCATGTTTGATGTTCATGTTTGTCAAATATATTAGTGATGATTTGATCTTTTAGATTAATGATGCCATGGGGAATGATTGGCCCTGGATCTACTTCTTGACTCTGATGCTTCTGGGCTCCTTCTTCATCCTGAACCTCGTCCTTGGAGTACTGAGCGGGTATTAGCTCAAGCTACGTTTTTAATAAAAAGTTTTAATACTAACTGCTTATTATCTACTTAAAGTTTGGTCAACAAGTTTGGAAGTGTGAGATAAACTAAAACACAATTGTACATGTTTTTTATTATTATTTCATCTAAATGCACTCTGGCTGGATGAGTCTACTGAATGGTTTATGGGACACAGATCTGTTCAATCAACTTAAATTACTCACCTTATTGAGAGACATAGAAATACAAGAATATCACATGACCAGGAAGCCATTTCAGCAAACTCAACTTCATGGTTAAGTGGCCTAACTGAGAAGAGTTTTTCCTTTATGCAGGGAGTTTACTAAGGAAAGGGAGATGTCACGGTCACGAGTAGAGTACCAAAAGCTACGAGAGCGACAACAAATGGATGAGGATCTGGAAGGTTACATGGAATGGATCACTCATGCTGAAGTTATGGATGGAGATTATGAGGGTAATGGTGCTACTACAGTCCTCTGTCTGTCTCTGTCTGTCTGTCTACCTCTATATCTGATGTCATTCGAATGAAAATTTCAATGTATGTATATTTGATAAAAAGCACAGTAACTGCATCTTTAAAGTTTCTCACTACTTTGATACTCTCCAGCACTTCTTCTTAGAAAGAACACTGATTCAGAGACAGACAGTTTGTACAAGATGGAGGGGATCAACAGGGTGATCTATTTCTAGTGAGTGTGCAATCAAGAACAAAAATATGCATCATGATTTAACCGAAGACTGATTTTTCATTTACTGTGTAATCCGCAGCCGTCTCGCACGCCGCTGGAACGTTGTTTTACGGAGGAAGTGTTATGTTTGGGTCAAATCTAAATTCTTCAACTGGTGGGTTCTCCTTGTTGTGTTACTCAACACTCTGGTCATTGCAACAGAGCATCATAACCAGACTGAGGGGTTAACAAGTTTTCAAGGTCCGTTCCATTAAGCAATACATTACAATACATTAAGCAATACAAGATTCCCAACTCCTATTTATTATTTTAAACGGTTTTTTTTTTTGGTTGTTTTAAGGAATCTTTACAAATAGAATGATTCAACAGAATCATTCATAATTCTATTGATTTATATATATATATATATATATATTGGCGAATGAAGTGAGATCTTGATGAGTCTTGGTCTTGTTTGCAGACACTGCCAATATAATCCTGCTCGCCTGTTTCACGATTGAGATGGTTATGAAAATGTATGCGTTTGGTCTGAGAGCCTACTTTATGTCCATCTTCAACCGATTTGACTGCTTTGTGGTCACGATTGGAATTCTGGAGATCATCCTGGTCGTGTCAAACATCATGACACCACTGGGGATCTCTGTGATGAGGTGTATACGTCTCCTACGCTTATTCAAGATCACAAGGTACGTTCATTTATTTAATACATCATTTCCAAATCTTACTACCATCTGTCTTAACTTTTCAACTTCCTCTTTTTCCTGCAACAAATCACAAGAACTGTTACTCTGAAGTAATGAGAAGAGTGCCTTATTAGTCCAACTAATATCTTACTACTACTTACTAGTCTAAGGAGTGTATCTTCGGCTTTTGCACAGGAACTTGCTCTGTGATTTTAAAATATTTATTTATTAAATAAATATTTAAAGGCATGTATTTTTTTGTTAAATGTTGTTAATATTTATTTATATAATTAATTTTATTTATTCATTCATTCATTTTATTTTTATTTTATTTTATTGTTTATTTATTTGATTTGATTTTTTACAGTAAATGACCTCTCATACACAAAATTCATGTTTCCTACACCAAGACTGTTGTTTCCTCTCATGGGTCTTTAGGTACTGGACATCACTTAATAACTTAGTGGCATCCTTACTCAACTCAGTGAAATCCATTGCCTCCCTACTCCTGCTCCTCTTCCTCTTCATTGTCATCTTCTCCCTCCTGGGTATGCAGGTGTTTGGTGGGAAATTCAACTTCCCTGACAGAGTGATTCAGCGCAGTAACTTTGACAACTTCCCACAGGCCCTCATCAGTGTGTTTCAGGTACTCCACTTGCAGTTTTAGTGAAATTGTGCTCTGTCAACGGAAGCTGTTTATGTGACATTGGGCTTCATTATCAGGTCCTAACTGGTGAGGAGTGGGACTCGATTATGTACAATGGAATCATGGCTCATGGTGGACCTCAATCACCAGGAATTCTTGTCAGCATTTACTTCATAATTCTGTATATCTGTGGAAACTGTATCCTTTTGAAGCATATGTCCTTATTTTCATGTCCCTGTTAATTTGTCCGAACTGATTAGAGATGATAAATGGGAATTAAGTATGCTTAAAAGAATATAGCAAAGCACTTAATCTAAAAGAAACATTTGCCATTGTTTCTGCTTCTAAGTACGAAGTATTTCAGAACCAATCATGTTGTATTGTTGTGATGAGGCTGTTTGGACTTTTCCTTAGCAGGCTGTTGATTAGTCGTTCTCTTGAATGTGTTCTTGGCTATCGCTGTGGACAATCTAGCTGAGGCTGAGAGTCTGACAGCAGCACAGAAAGAGAAAGCAGAGGAGAAAGCCCGAAGGAAACTCATGAGGTAAAAGAACATCTAATTAATAATTTTATCTCAGCAAGGGTGCATTAATCTGATCAAAAGTCATTTTTGATGCTTTCTTTTGAGCTTTTCATCATATAGTCCTAAAAAATGTTGTTTCCACAAAAATATTAAGCAGTACATTGATAATAAGAGGAGATGTTTCCTGAGCATCAAATCAGCATATTACTCTGTAAAAAAAAATCCGTAAAATTTATGGTAAAAAAAGCGGCAGCTGGGGTTGCCGGAATGTTACCGTAAAAAATACGGTAGCAATATTTTAGGTTTTAACTTAAATTTAAAAAAAAAAAAAAGAAAAAGTGAAGTGAAGTGACATGTGGCCAAGTATGGTGACCCATACTCGGAATTAGTGCTCTGCATTTACCCATCCAAAGTGCACACACACACAGCAGTGAACACACACTCGGAGCAGTGGGCAGCCATTTATGCTGCGGCCCCCGGGGGGCGTTTGGGGTTTCGGTGCCTTGCTCAAGGCCACCTAAGTCGTGGTATTGAAGGTGGGAGAGAGCACTGTACATTCCCCCCCCCCCCCTACAATCCCTGCCGGTACGAGACTCGAACCCACAACCTTTGGGTTATGAGTCCGACTCTCTAACCATTAGGCCATGACTTCCCACAGTTAAATTCCGTAATTTCATTAACTGATATAATGTTAATATACCAACCTATTGAAGTACTGAAATCTGATTTGTACCTTTGTAATACACTGATAACCACCAAATGCAGGTGGTGATGAGAAAGTCACATGATGAACCAAAACCCATCACAAGCAGCTTTTAAATAATAACATATAGAAAGAAGGTGCACAGTGTCATTCACACAAACACTAAACACCTTCATGGTAACACAAACTGAAATAATGCAATAAACATTCATTTAACAACATTAGGTGTAACACACAACCCTAATACACAAAACTGATAAGAAAAAACTAAGAAGAAACAGTTATTTCAACAAAAAAACATCAAATTTGAAATGTAACGCAGGGATTTCTGGGAATGTCAATTTACGGTTATTCACTGTAAATTATAGGCCTATGGTCTTTTTCACTTCCAAAAACGGTATACTACCGTAAAATTACATGTAATGTCCAAAACAGATTTTCACCGTATATAGTAGGGGAATTTACCGTTAACCATTTAACAGGTTTTTACTGTAGCATTTTTACAGTCTTTTACCATTAAATTCATGGTCATTTTTTACAGTGAATTATTTCTGAAGGACCATGTGACACTGAAGACTGGCGTAGTGATGCAGAAAATTCAGCTTGGTCATCACAGAAATAAATTAAATTTTAAAATATATATAAAACAGAAACAGTTATTTTAGATTGTGATCATATTTTACTATTTTTAATTGTTTATGTTTGAGCAAATAAATTCAGCCTTGGTGAGCATAAGAGACTTCTTTCAAAAACATTTTTAAAAACCTTACTGACCCCAATCTTTTGAATGGTAGTGTATTTGCATATCTATATATTACTAAACAACATTTTGACTTATTTATTCAAATAAGAACATTGCCAGAGAAAAGTGAGGAGGAGAAGGCCCTGATGGCTAAGAGGTCAAAAACGGAGGGAATGCCCACCACAGCAAAGGTATGGCCGAAACGAAAGAGCTCACTGTGCTTATTTTAGATAAACCTACTGCAATACTTTGACTAGTTGGCCTTGTGTCTAGCACTATCAGGATGATCCACCACATCGGGTCTTCAGTCAATCACATCAAATTTTAGGCTCTGGCGCTAGCTTATTGTTTGCTAAATAAACATAATGTAAACCAGTTTCATCATGTTTTTGTCTCCAGCTCAAGATAGATGAGTTTGAATCAAATGTTAATGAAGTGAAAGACCCCTTCCCTCCTGCAGACTTTCCAGGTAAGGCTGAAGAGTTTAAATATCAACTGAGGGCTCTGCACTCCATAAAATGCTGGCTCAGACCTCACAGTACATCTCGAAACATGTAAAGGAAGAAGTTCAAAGACAGCTGATCTGTTATAAGT